CCAACTAATTAGCGTTGTCATTCCCATTCACAACCTCAACATTTTGTTTGTACCTCTCAATAATCTGCTAGTTTTGTTTAACTCTATAGCAACAGAGTCACATGTATTCATCTGCGTTCGGCAGTAATTTGCTTCTCAATGTCTCCTTCCAGAGATTCACCCATTTTGTTTCTGTGTGGTTCATTCATTTTCCCTCCTGCACCAAGTCATTATAGGAATATATAGGGTCCGGCACAAATAACGCCCCCTTTTAAATTTACAAAATCATAAGCATGTAATTCTGTAAAGTAACAATATCACACTCAAGCACACCGTATGACATTTTAGGTGACATGCTCTAATTAAAACATAAATTATTCCACCCATATTATTACCCTATCAACCACACTCAAGCAGGTGTCACTTCCGCCGGACCCTGTATTGCAATTTATTGATCTATTCTACCTGTGATTATTCTAGTGATTACTGGTTTTGGTTGTTCCCAGGTCTTCCCATTATGCAACAGGACTGCTGTGAACATTCTTGTACATGATTCCTAGTACACAAGTGCAGGATTTCTGTAGGCCATATAAACAGGCGAAGACTTTTGGAGTCAGAGGGTTGGCACATGTTCAACTTTACCAGGTAATGCCAAATGGTTTCCAAAGAGCTAGTACCAATTTATACTTCCACCAGCAAATACCTGATTCATGGTTATTTCACATATTTGCCAGCACTCAGTAATATCAGATTTAAATTTTTTAGCAGTATGATGGGTATAAAATGATATCTCATTTGATTTATTTCATACTTTCCTGATTACTAATGGCGTTGAACCCCATTTCATAAATATTATTATAGCCATTTGGTTTTCATTTTCTATGAAGTGCCTGTTCAGTACATTACATATTTTTTCCTATATTATTTGTCTTTTTCTTTTTAGTGCTGTATAGGAGTTATTTACACAATCAGGACACTAATCCTTTGTTAGTTACATAGGCAACAAACATCTTCTCCAAGTTTGGGAGATTCTTTATTGTGTCTTTTGAGAAATAGAACTTTCTAATTTTAGTATCATCGGACATTATCAATATTTTCCTGGTTTTTTTTTTGCCTCTTGTTTAAGAAATCCTTCCCTATCCTAAAGTCACAAAATGTTCTCCTACATACTTTTTTAAGTTTTAAGATTTTGTTTGTTTACTCATTGACTTATTTATTTATTTTGGACAGAGGGGAAGGAAGGGGGGGAGAAAGTGAAGTAGAGAAACATCAATGTGTGGATGCCTCCAGTGCACCCCCTACTGGGAACCTGGCCTGCAACCCAGGCATGTGCCCTGACTGGGAATCAAACCAGCACCCCTTTGGTCTGCAGTCTTGTGCTCAATCCACTGAGCCACACCAGCCAGGGCTAGTTTTTCAAGTTTTATAGCTTTGTATTATCCACTGGAATCCTCCTCCAATGAAATTTTTGCATGGTATGTAATAGGAGGAGGGCTATTATAGTTTTTAAAAAAGTGGATGATGACTTATGGCCAAGATGGAGGTATAGATGGAAACACTGTGCCTCCTCACACAACCAAATTTAAAGACAACAAAGATTTAGAAACAAAAAACACAGCCAAACAGACATAAACGTAACCTGTACATCCAGATGAGTAAAAGGGGTGGAGCTGGCAGCAGAGAGGGGTCCTGGCAGGAGGAGGCGGTGATTGGCGACAGACAGAAACCCAGTAAGGCTCTCAAGGTGGCAGCTGGCTGACTACGGACACACATTTGGCGCAAACCAGGCAGGTTTAAAAAGTCAGTGAGACAGACTGCACAACCTAGGGCCCCAGCGACGGGAAATAAAGCCTAAAAGCATCGACTGGAAAAACTCTTGGGGGCTGAGGTACCGGGAAAGAATCCCAGCCTCACAGGAGAGTTAGTTGGGGAGACCCACAGGGTCCTAGAACGAACACAAGCCCACTCACCCGGGAACCAGCACCAGAAGGGCCCAACTGGCTTGTGGGAAGTGGCAGAGGGGACTGAAATCTGAGAGGGTGGAAAAAATGCTATAGCTCACTCTCTGACCCTCCCCCCAGTCACAACCCAGTGACTAGGCAGACCCACTCCGGTGAACACCTAAGCTTTTGCCCCTCATACGTAACAGGTGCAAACAGAACAAAACATTATGACTCAAGAAAAAGAACAGCTCAAAGCCCCAAAGCCAATACTTCTAGGCAACCAAGAGATAGCCAACCTATCAGATGCACAGTTCAAAACACTGTTGATCAGGGTGCTCACTGAACTAGTTGATTTTAGTCGCAAATTAGATGAATAAATGAAGGCTACACTAAGTGAAATTAAGTAAATTGCACAGGGAACTAATAGTGATGGAAACGAATCTGGGACTCAAATCAATGGAGTGGACCAGAAGGAAGAAAGAAATGACCAAACAGAAAAGGATAAAGAAACAAGAATTCAAAAAAATGAGGAGAGGCTTAGGAACCTCCAAGACATCTTTAAACATTCCAACATCCGAATTATAGGGGTACCAGAAGGGGAAGAGGAACAGTGACAAGTACAAACTTATTTGAACAAATAATAAAGGAGAACTTCCCCATTCTGGCAAAGGCAATAGACTTCCAGGAAATCCAGGAAGCTCAGAGAGTCCCAAAGAAGTTGGACCCAAGGAGGAACACACCAAGGCACATCATAATTACATTAGCCAAGATTGAAATGAAGGAGAGAATTCTAGAAGCAGCAAGAGATAAGGGGACAGTCACCTACAAAGGAGTTCCCATCAGACTGTCAGCTGATTTCTCAAAAGAGACCTTACAGGCAAGAAGGGTCTGGAAAGAAGTATTCCAAGTCATGAAATCCAAAGACCTACATCCAAGATTGCTCTGTCCAGCAAATCTTTCATTCAGAATGGAAGGACAGATAAAGTGCTTCTCAGATAAGGTCAACTTAAAGGAGTTCATCATCACCAAGCCCTTATTATATGAAATGTTAAAGGGACTTATCTAATAAAAAGATAAAAAATATGAACAGTGAAAGGACAGAAAACTCACAGTTATTGACAACCACACTTAAAAAAAAGCAAACTAAGTGGACAACTAGATCAGGAGCAGAACTATAGAAATGGAGATCACAAGGAGGGTTGACAACAGGTGACTGGGAGGAGGAGAAGGGGGGAGAAGGTACAGAAAATAAGTAGCATAGATGGTAGGTAGAAAATAGGGGGGAGGACAAGAATAATATGGGAAATGTAGAAGCTAAAGAACTTGCAACACATGGACATGAACTTAAGGGGGGAATGGAGGAGGGGGTGTGCTGGGGGGGTCATGAAGAAGAAAATGGGACAACTGTAATGGCACAATCAATAAAATATACTAAAAATAAATAAAAATGCAGATGACCAATTTTCTCAAACAATTTATTAATGACTATTCTTTCTCCACCATCCACACATGCGGCTGTCATAAAACGTGTGTGCGCGTGCAATCTGCTTCTAAGCTCTTTAATTTTGTTTCATAGTTCATTTGTATTCCTCTGTATAAAAAATGTATAGAGCTAAATAATTCTAGGCATCCCTCATGGCCCTTCACCTTCGTCTTCTTTAAGAGTTTCAGGTATTTTAGGCCTTTTTTTCTTTCTTATTAATTTAGAATCAGGTTGTAACGTTCCACAAAATGTCTGTTATACTAAATCTCTAGATCGGTATGGACAAAAATGAGATTCCTTTTTTGCTATTCGTTTTTTATATGACAAATGAATTTTACAGTGAGCAAACATATATCCACCACCTAACTTTTAAAATTTCTATCTTGCTACATTTTCTTCATTATATAACCATTTCTCTACTCACCTATTAATCCATTAATTTTTAATTGCATTTCAAAGTTGCAGCTACTTTACCATTATACACATCAAAGTATTTATTTTATATCGTGTGTGTATATTTATTATTTCAGATGTGAAAAATAATACAGTTGACCCTTGAAGAACATGGATTTGAACTACACAAGTCCACTTATACCCATATTTTTTGTCAATGAATATACAGTTGGCCCTTGGTATCTTTGGGTTTTGCATGAATTAAAACTAACCATGAATTAAAAATAGTATTTTTGACCTGTGTTTGGGAATCTATAGATGGGGAGGGACAACTAACTGTACCTTTAATTCTAGCCCAGCCTAGATAAGGGATTTGAACATTCACGAATTTTAGTATCTGTGAAGGTCCTGGGACCAGTCCCCCATGGATACTGAGGGACACCTGTACCTAAGACTTCGGGAAGTCGAAGTGTGTATGTGAATTCTGACTGTGTGAGGGCCAGCGCTGCACTGTGCAGGGATCTCTGTCTGACCCGGTCTACTCGGTTAGTGTACAGCACTGGGGCAGGAAGAGAACGAACCTACTCGATTCCTCTCTGCGTCATTTAACTTGTTGAATCAGAACTTCATTACTTCTGTAAATTAAATGATACTATTAAAAAGACAAAATCTATTGATACTGCTTTGAAATTGTGATATTAATTGTAGGAGCCTTTTAAAAAATTTAATCGGCTAATCTCTTGCATTACCTCTGTCATAGCTTTCTATCACATTTTTTGCAATATAAATCATTATTGTGTAAATTTCTTCTAAATAAAAATCAAATTAATAGGTTAATGTCTATATCACTTTCATCTTCAAGTATGTATATTTTTCTATATGATTACTTTAGTGTTTACCGAAACTTGGCTACTATTCCATGAAATCTCTAGGAGGCCTCCTGAAGAATTTCCTTTATTAGTAAATGTGTGGAGCACTAAAGAAGTAAAATTACTAACCAGGTAGGAAAACACACACACACAAAAATAAATGCCAGGGGGGTGTTCTTTCATCCCATAACATAAACAAAAAAGCAATATTAATTGTTAACTGTGAAAAGACAAAAGACTTAGGATTATGAGAAAAAAAGCCATTTTTATATTGCACAAATTAAGATGTTAGTGAAATTAGACAAAACGGAAGAACAAAGAAATTAACAGTACCTTTTTCCTCTGATGTTTTCCTGGTGGTGGCTTGATGGTGGCAGGGAGAGTCTTCCATTTCATGATCAGATTTTGAAGGAGAGGAGAGTGAAGTGCCTCCCCAAGCAGAGGAGGAAGGCTCCCTTTCAGAGTGCAGTGGGCCTTGGAATTCGGCTGCGTGGTCAGACTCCGAGAAGGGCACACAGTCAGCCACAGAGGTGACGGATGGAGCACCAGAATCTGATTCTGGGGAGGAAGTTCTCAAACCCTTGGGCAGAAGTGATTGGTGATATGCACGTGGTTATAGAAACTGTTTGACAGCTGCTGATATAAGAGCATCTGTTCCATGTCATACTTACTTTGAAATCAGATTGACCTTTTTTTTTTAAGTGAATACCCATGAAAACCAATTTTGTTTGCTGGTTTACAAATGAGACTCCATAGTTCACAGCTCACCATATTACCACTGTAACTAACACAGACACCTAGGACACATGGAAACAATTACTTGTACAATCATTATTTCCTGCTGGGTAAAACCAACTGCTGGATATCAAAAACAACATCGTGAAATATGACAATATGGATAATGCTCTTGGTTAGTTCACTGAATGAGTACAGAAAGAATCTGAATTACAACAATGTATCGATTGAGTTGAGTAAGGATTCTGGAGACAAAAAAGTGAACTATTTTAGCTATTTCCAACTACAGCATCGAATCTGGTTGCAGAAAATCAATAAACTGTAAGAACAAGGAGACAGCCTGACACTGTGAGTCAGAACACGGTCCAGGGTGCTCACCTTTCGCTCGAGACTGTCCTCCCCATCTGTCGAACTGACACTGTCATAGAGTCTGGTGCGAGAGGGCCTCTGGCGCCTGTTCTTCACGGAGAGCTGGGCTCGCGTCTTCAGGGCTTTGGAATCCAGGCGCTCTGTCTCTGGGACTGCTTCATTCAAGTCTAAGAAGAGAACATCGCAAAACAATCAGGGACAGAACCCTTTGGAGAGGATTGATACAGAGACCACAGACACTGGCAGCAAAATCTCAGTGATACCAGACAAGAAATGGGCGGCAGCCATGATGGTCTGGCTGAGATCCTACAGGTGACAGAGACAGCAGCGGGAAAAGAAAACCAGGAAGATCTAGAAGAAATTCTGGATTTAAACTGTGAACATAAAGCAAATAACTGAATTGTAAAAAAATAACTAGTACTGTTATTAATAGAAAACAATTTCTTTTAGTAGTATTACCCCAGGAAATGCCTTTTCACAGTATTATTATTTTTTTTAATTTTATTTAGTTATTTTTCAAGTACAGTTTTTTTTTGTCTATTTCTCCCATCCCAGCAAGGTACACTCCAGATATATTATAAAACTAAAACAAGCAAGTTTCTCAGGTTGTATCTCTCTTACCTATGGAGCTTAGCACTTGGCATATGATTCTAAGGAATGTATTTGCCCCTAGGGGATACATCTGTTGAATGACATTATTTAAAGAAGATTTTGGCTTTTCATTTTTTATATTTGAAAGAAAAGTGAATATTCAGAAAAGCTAGACCATTGAGGTATATGTAAAGGACAGCTAAATATTTTCTAATGAGTAGTCTTTATTTTTTACATGTCAATGGAGAAAAAACAATCTCTGTGATCACTTTAATTTACTCCTTCCATTACAATCTAAATTTGCAGCTACCCATGAAGAGTTCATTAATTGTGGTAACTGGGAGAGGATGAACCTTATAAGCTCTTGTTTACATATAAAATGTGAAAACACCCAATAGATAAAAGCAGTAACATAATAATTATTAGACAATATAATCACATTATTATATTATTCTATAATTATTCTATACTATCATTGATGCACATTTTACAGCATATCTGTGTTGTACTTGGACTTCATGTTCCCTGGCATGAAGCACTGTCACATACACCGTGTCCTGTGTCCCTCACAAGAGCTACAAGACACAAGTGCTAAGTATGTTTCTTTTCCTGAGCTCAGAGAACTCAAGCAACTGGCCGCATCTACACAGCTACTTGAGGAGGTGCCATGATTATTCTGGCTTTTTTGACTCCCAGGCTACTACTCTGTGCACTTCAATTTAGTTAGTGTTGACCAAATTAGTAGAGTAAGATTTTAATGCCAGTGGGGTTGTGTTTCCAGTTGCAAAAGCACATTATCACATGACTAGTCTAGGAAATTTACTTCTCCAACAGGCTACGTGTGCCCTCCTACCATCAACCTCCCACATGTGTGTTAAGGGAGCGTTGAAAACTACAGAAAAAAATTTCTCAGATGACTTCTTGTTTGGTTGGTTTAATAACAGCTTTGGTTACTTAGTGACAGAAAGACCTAAGGAGGAAGCTCATCAGACTTTTGAAAATATGGCTCCACTTGCGATAAAACCCTGGCCTCGGTGGACCCAACGCAGCACTGGACACCCAGGGCTGCAGGAGCCGCTCCATCACCAGGGAAGGCCAGAGTAAGGGAGCGGGAGAACTGTGTCTCGGCAGGGCTTAGAACACAGAGACTTTATTCTGGGACTTCTGGCCCCACTGCTATCCAGTACTGGTATCAGTCATCGCCCAAATGGCAATCTGGTATTGCCTGCTCTGATATCGGCTACTGCTGACTAGGTTCTAGCCGCTGAAGCACACACTCGAATTACATCTTTTAAGGGTGAAGTCAGCAGGAATCTGACAAGCAGTGCCTTTAATCCATTATCCAAGTGGCCAACCAGGCATGGCACCTGACTAATCGTTTTTAAGTATCTGAGAACAAAGATCTCAGGGCCATAAAGATCTTTATGGTAGTTACGCATGGGCTACAAATCAGTGACTTACATTCTAAATGAAGAAAGGTTTTAAAGTAAAAAACTGGAAAAGTGGGATGTAGCTGAGGTCACTCCCTTCAGCAGCTCTTATACCAGAAGGAAGGCAGAAGGAACGCTGTTCGGGAGACACCAGAAATCACCCCCACCCCGGCGGTGTGAGCGGAGCTGGGTGCAGAGCAGGAGGTGTGTAGAGAGCGCAGTTAAGCTGCTGGGCACTAGCAGAGTGATCTGCTCAACCTCTGGACGCTCTCTTTTTCTATCATATCATTCAAGAATCAGAATATTATAACTCAAAAGAACCGTAAAGATTCCAGCCCACCGTTCTTTCTCAGATCACAGATGGAGGCCGCAAGGTTACTAGCTTCTCTTCTCACTGTTCACACAGTTAGCCTGTGCAGGAGACTGGGTGTAGTTCAGCCTCAGAAGCTTGTCCTTCCAGGTCACTCTCCAGTCTGAGAGCAAACGTCACAAGTACTCCACCTTCTTCGAGCCCTCCTTTTGGTCTTATGCTATGTTCCGAGCAAACATACATGCCAAGGGCTCCCTTGCCAATTCCCAGAAGTATATAGTGCAAGAAGAAAAAATAATCGAGGGGTTTTTATTTGGCTTTATATTTATCCAAGAAATAAAATTCTTACATAAAAAACTGATCTGTCAGTTCTGTGCTGGTGCTGTCAGGAGAAATCCCACTGGGTAATGATTCTAAGCTCTGTGTTACTAAATGTAAGGCTTGGGTGGCCACGTTCTCTCGCCATCGTCCACTCCCCACAGAGACCTCAGTCAACAGCACAGGACTACTGTCGTGAACCCAAGACTCCGGGTCTTTCCTCTGCCCCTTTTTCCACGGCATGTTGCTCTGCTGCCCCTAAGAATCAGAGGAAAGTTTGTTTTCCTTTCTCCTTTCTTTTCTGTTCTTTCTTAGACCCTCAAGTCTCTGAAATAGACTTTTTTTTTCTGACTCAAATTCAACTAGACATACAAAAGAAAAGCAGACTCAAGAGGATCGATACACATAGCCAGACAAATACAGAAAAGATACAAAGTAGCTGATGATAGAGCAGTTTTAAGTGGGTGGGACTCCACCTCAGTATCCCTGCATCTTAAGAATAGCCTCATTACTGCTTTGAATTGGATACTTTAAAAGAAATGTAATAGATTTGAGTATGACTTTAGCAGCTGTTATGAAAAATGTTCTGTGAAATTAGGATGCCATATATCATATCACACGGAGATCAGTTCCCTAAAGTAATGCTGTGAGTCATTCAGGCTTTTTCACTGGATTGACGTTATTTGTGACGTAAATGGATGCTGCCCACGGCTCAGACACCGGCGGCAGGGGAAGCAGAGGAGTGGAGCGGCATGACAATGGGGTCCACTCCACATTCTCATGCGCGTTACTCTCCCCAGACGCAGTCAGACCTTACTTACACCATTGCGCTGCCTGGCTTGTGCTGTTATCACTGAAATGCTGAACATAATGAGACGCTTGGTGCATATCACTCACAGTAACTGCGAGTTCATAAAGGCTGGGCCCATGGGGCTTTGGGTGCACCCGTATAGCACTGGGAGGCAGGTTTATGAATTGCACGGGGGTGGTGATAAGTAGTTACCACAGAGGTAGTCGGGGAGTTAGTCTTCCTTGAAAAGAATCCAGAACAGTGGCTCTGCCACTAAATTGGGCAATTTACCAAAACTCTCTGTCCCTCAGAATCTTCAACTGCAAAACTGACATGATAATAACATAATACAATAATTGCATTTTGAGGACTAAGTGCATAAGAAGACATATAAGTGCTTAGAAGAATGACTGGTACGTAATAAGTAATCAATAAATGTCTATTCACTGACAGTGAGAAGCTTAGCAAGATATTAAGTGACTAACTCAAGTTGTGGAACAATGTGTATATTCACCATAAATGTTTAAAAAACAGCAACATAAATATATATTGTCTAATGATAAATACATGCATGTAATTGCCGAGGGAAAAAAACATGAGAAAGATACACTTCAGACTGATAGCGGTGGTTACTTCCAAAGAAGATATTAGATTTGGAGATGTTAGTCAACCAACAGTACTGGAATCTTATTTGTAATGTTAAAATTTTCTTGTATTATATACTTTTTTGCATTTATGCATTACTTATGTAGTTACAATAAGCAAAGGAAAAAATACATGGAACACATTTTCTTTTACAGACGTATTCAATCCATTCTAATCTGTGTTTTAAGACTCAGTACTTCCCAATATTAGTCTTGGTAACTGTCAAGATCTGTGTGTCTCTCAGGGGAGGAAGCTGCTCTATCGTGAGATCTATGGAGACTGTCTGCCTGCCTTGCTGCAGTACCGACCGCCTGAATATTTGGCCTAAATAAGGCCCCATGGATAAGCTTCCAGTGGCTACTGTCTGGGCGTTGTATCGGGGAGATGTATTGAATCAGAAAGTCATCTGAGGCCAAGTTAACACAGCTTCAGCTCATCTTATAACACCTCAGTTAGGAGCCTGTCCATGGGCACCTCTCACCCAAAACATTATTAAAAGTTGGTTTCTTTATAACTATTAAAAGCTGATAAATTTTGTAAGCCAAGTCATATTTATTAAATTTTAGAAAGCTGGTTTGTTATCATTTCAGAACAAGTAGAAGATTATTGCTGTTTCCTAATCTTTTAATTAGGACTGGGTTTACTGTTGCATGAACTGTACAATTCATTTGCTAATCTCTGAAATATATTAAGGACTTTCTCTTTTTTTTACCTCTTTGTCAATAAATGCAATCTCAAAATGATCCATATGCCCTCTGAAGCGTAATTTGGTTATGTGTTCTTCAGTGAAGTCTGATACCTAAAGTTAGCTTTTTTCAGCTTAAAGTCAACCGGTCCTTCTGTTCGCAGAGCGGAGAGGTCCACATTCTGCTAGCTGTGTACCAGCAGCGCCTCTTTAAGTGACGCCACCAGACTGCCGTAGAGGCAGTGGCTGCGAGGCAGGAAGGAACTGTGAGACAGCCCGGATCCTGCCATGTACCATTTGAAGCTTTCAGAAGACTTGTTTGAGTCACAGACTATGAAGAGCTACAGAATGTAGATGTAGACAACAGACAAAGGCATTTAAATGTTAGGAGTCCTTCA